TGGTCCGAGGTATGAAGATGGGCTCGAAAAAGAGGCATGTCAATCGGTAGAGGATCGGAAAGAACGCTCGCATCCAAGTTAGATGTCAGCGGTCAACAACAAAGAAAAACATTCAAAGGCCTAGAAGGGCACGAGAACATGCAATAATAGGGTAAGAATCGAAAACAAAAATCAAGGAAGTATCTTCATATTCATAAATATCCATGTACAATAGCCCTCGAAGGGTCCGTACATACAATTACAAAAGCCTCCAGAGGATCTCTACACAAAAATAGAGGAACAGAAGGATGTACATGTGATGAAACCCGAGAACCCGGTCCATCCTCGAAGGTCCATCTCCGGTATCAGCATCCTCGAGCTCCGCCCCCTCGAGCTCGCATCCTCGAGGGCGACTCCTTCGACCGCCATCTCCTCTAGGTTCCCAGCTCAATCCCGCGGAAGGTCCTCGCTAAGGGAGAAGATGAAGAAGTGGAAAATGAGGGGATGTAGAGGAGGCAGAGAAAAGAGACATGGCCCGCCAAATCCAAAGGTTGAAGATTCGGCGGGCCTCAACAGCCGGTAGTGCCATTTTATCCCTTGGGAAAGGAAAAACCCAAGGGATGAAATGGCACTGCAGGCTTAGGTAGGAGGGTGAGCAGCGGTGCATAGTCCGAATAACTGTCTACAAAAGGGGAGAACTGATTCCCCATCTATTATTGTCTCGGGCCGATGACAACAACCACAGTAGCGACAGGATGGCGTGGTCGTGATCGACAAAGGGAAGCTCCGGCAAGAGGCCATAACACGGCCTACGGGAGCTCTGCCGAACGGCCTTGAGGCCATGGGCCCCAAACATAATGTTTAAGGATAGAGGAAGATGATAAGAAGAAATGGCCAAATGAGCCAATAAAGGTACTTGGAAAGAAAAAACAATGCCAAAACGCCCCCATTTATAAGAGGTAACGACACGGTTATCGAGGCTTTGGAAGATTGACCGGCAAACGCAATTACTGCGTTCTCGAAGAACCGAATCGAAGGCAGAGCATTCATCTTGGAGAGCGGGAATCTATAGTGCATTGAATGATGTCAAATAATTATGTCCATGGGACACCCCGATTACCGCAAAAGCTCACGCCACATATTGCATCATTGGTATGACGTCACTGTAATAAGCTCGTGGAGTCAGGCATCAGAATCATTTCCCATTGCTTCGTTCTGGGAAATGCGGAGACTATCTATATGCGGCAAAATCAGAGGACTTGATTTCTCGCTAACAAGCCACTTCAGAAGAATACCTCGAGACCCCGAGGACATAGAGCTACGACCGAGTCCCCTCCCTCAGGGCTCGTCGGGGCCCGACTTAAAGAAGACGAAGGTTGGGGCTAGAGCAGAAGAGGAAGTTCCCAAGGCACGACTAAGTCTGACAGAGCCGGCCTATCCAGGGCCTATGTCGAAGCATCACGTCTAGCCGTCCCATCTCCATACTTTATAATTAACCCATGTTGTACTATATTCGGGTTTCCCTCCTATATAAAGAGAACCCGCACTACTTTGTAAAGGGATAATGTTGCTCCAACTATTCTCCACAATATCAATAATATCTCTCTCTCTCTCTCTCTCTCTCTCTCTCTCTTCTCTCTAACTTGCTCGTTCTTACTAGCTCGAGGCTACTCTTAGCGTTTGTTGCTTCCATATTTGTTCTTCATTTATTGCTTAGTATTGGCCATAAAGAACCTTGTTTGATCATACCTTAACTATTATCCCATTCCCGACTACCCCCGATAGCTCGAGCTCGAGCCAGATATCGACTTCGAGGTCCTTCATCGACCAGTTCGAGGCTCGGGCTGCAAGCTTCTCGGTTTGATTACTGCCACGCTTTAACTCGTATTTCTTCATTACACCTCATACTCTTAGCATCTACTGCTCTAACAACTGCCATAAAAATAGATAACGTATTTTTAGAGTCCCATTTACAAATTTAATTGTTGTTACCATTTTCACGGTAAACATCCTCCCAGGTCTGAAATATTTGTCGTGCGTGTCCTCACCATCTGTGAGAGAATAAAAGAGAGAAATTTAGTATGCCAACCACTGCATGATAGAAAATGAATAAAGAGTAGTTTCCTAACACCTTATAGCCTCTCGAAGATAAATACAGACGTCTTCATACCTATCCGCAAGACTCTATTAGGTTTGCCCATGACTTGTGAGACCTACGTGAACCTAGTGCACTGATACCATGTTGTCACGACCCAATTACATTATAGGTCATGATGGCGCCCAACACCATTGTCAGGCAAGCCAACGTGGAAATATTAGTAGATTCTAGTTTTTACTTTACAAAAACTGTTACAACAATTTCTTAATTTGCATTTTAAATTAAGTGATAATTAGCAACGTACAATAATAATTATACAATCCCAAAAGAATAGTCTACCAATGTGTGTGCCAAGACCTGGTATCACAAGTATGTGGGCATCTAGTAGAATATACAAAAGAATAAATCTATCCTACTATCTGAAATAGAATAGACAGCCAAAAGTAAAGAGAGACTCCATCGTGCTGTTGAACAACATAGGAAGGGAGCAGCTCACCGTGGAATCTCGGACTACGATCAAGAATGTGCACTAGCCTAGGTAACCATATGTACCTGCCTCAGATCCTGTACAATTAAGTACAGAAGTGTAGTATGAATACATAAACAATATGTACCTAGTAAGTATCCTGTCTAATCTCGAAGAAGTAGAAACTAGAGGTCGACTTGACACTTACTAGGGTCAAATAATATGAGAAAGAATTACACTAAGCATGGATAGCACAAATAATTAACAATTTATAGCAAGAAGTAACATGTCCTTCCCTAGATGATATCACAGTTAACCACTTACATTTCAGGGCATATAACAAGGTTCAATCCACAGAAAAATACCAAGCAAGAAGCATGCACACGTAGTTCCGAGGTCGTACGACCCGATCCAACATAAAAATAAAGTGTGCACTGCTGGAGGGTCGAATGGCGCGAACCATAGATGCATCTATTATCCCACTCGTGAATCATACATGCGACGCGGTAAAATGTAATTAAGCACAACAAATAGGCAGACAAGAATATGTGAGGGGAGCAATTACTCACAGAAATGTCAACTTCTCTTTAAAATGTCAAGAAAATGATGTTCCTCTTATTAATTTCATTTACCACATTCAACATGATTTAAGCAATCCAAATTAACCATAAAGTTACAAGAATATCACATAAAGCATGCTTTTGGGTCCTAGACTTCCCGGACTTAAGCATAATAGTGGCTACGCAAGGACTCTCGTCACCTAGTGCGCACGTAGCCCCCGCATTTAGTGGAAAATTATTCAATTATTTCACCTAAGGGGACAATTCTCTCTTACAAGATTAGATAGGAGACTCACCTCGCTCCAAAGCGTACTTCCAATACCAAGAACGTTCTCAAACCCTCAATTTGGAGCCGAACGATCCGAAACTAATTAAACGAGGTAGAAACTAGTCAATACAAGCTCAAGAGTTCACATTTTAATTACTAAAGTAATTTCCCAACCTTAAACACAGGTTCCCTAAAATCCGACCCCGGGGCCACGTACCCGTATTCTGAAATTTTTCGAAGAAAGTTCTTCTTTATAACCTAAGGATCAATAATATATGATTTCTACTTTATTCCATAATAAATTTCGTGGTTAAATCTAACTTTTATCAAAACCCTAGGTTTTGCTATAATCCCATGATTTTTCCTTAATCTTTGTGTGTTAATCTACCTGAGGTTCAAGTATTAAACTAGAAATAAATAGGATTAACTTACCTCAAGATGCTAGGTGAAAGTCTTCTCTCAAAAGCTCCAAAATTGCCCAATAAATGAGTGAAAATAAGCAAAAATGGCCTAGAGAAGGCCACTACCTTATGCGATTTCCGCATCTGTGCTCCTGGGCCGCACTTGCACCCACTGCTTCTGCGGAAAGAAGACCACGTCTGCGATCTGGGCCGCTCCTGCGGTTCCGCTTCTGCGGATTAAAGGCCGCATCAGTGGTCTTGGGCTACCTGGCCTGGGTCGCTCCTGCGATAGGTGGACCACTGCGGTCTCGCACCTGCAGCTTACCAACCGTAGGTGCGATTTTGACAGCAACCAGTAGCTTCATCCCTTTCCTAAATTCCTAACTTAACTCGAGCTGCGTCCGTTCGACGCTCGGGTCCCCCGGGGCCCCGCCCAAACATACCTACAAGTTGGAAATGATAAAATGGACTTGCTCGAACTCTCGAAATGCCCGAAATAAAGTTAAATATAAGAATCACCCCCAAAACCAATTGAATCAAACTTATGAACCTCAAGTTCTTCAATTTACTTTTAACGCGCCGAAGCATACATATACTACTCGGATTGACACCAAATTTTGCGGGCAAGTCTTAAATTTTATATTGGACTTGTACCGGGATCCGGAACCAACATACTTACCCGATACCAACATGATCAAACATTATTCAATTTCATTAGATTCTTAGAATTACAATTTAACAATTTCTAACAAAAATGCATTACTTGGGCTAGGGATCTCGGAATTCGATTTCGGGCATATGCCCTTGTCCCATATTTTCCTATGGACCCTTCGAGACCGTCAAAATACAAGTCCGGGTCTGTTTACTAAAAATGTTGACCAAAGTAAAACTTAGCATTCTAAGAAAATCTTAGGGAATCAAGTGTGCCTATTTCAACCCAAACTCTTCCAAATCCCGAACCAACCATCTCCGTAGGTCGTAATTTAGTTAAAGCAAGCACAGGAAGTCTTATTTAGAGGGATGAGATTCTAAAAAAAAATGACCAGTCAGGTCATTACAGATAGTGTGTTAGTTTTGCAACATAAGATTTGGATCAAATAATTCCTCTACTGTCCCATGTTCAAAATGTTGCCACGCCTATTTTTTAAGTAAGTACACTAGGCATTATGACTAGGGTAATTTTTATATGTATAAAGCACAAAAAGAGTACGATAATGGAGGAGGGGATTCTACGGTGGAAAGCTAATTGTGTTCCCAAACATGGAAATCAATTGGATCCCGTAACCTATGTGAAGTTATACCTATAGTGAAGTGCCAAATTCCTATCCACATTTGATAGACACTTGGATACCAAAAATCACTGAGAAGTGAGTCTAGGTCAACTATACAAAATGTAAACCTAAGTCAACTTTGCAAGAGAGTTAGAAGGACTCCTCCAATATAAAAAAGGTCACACATCTAAAGTAAAAGGAAACTCTCCTTATGAAAGTTAACAAAAATCAAGTGTACAAGAGGTTAATGGGAGAGATCCGATGTATCAAAAAACCTATCTTCAACCTAGATTTAAGTGTAACTTCAAATAAAGTCAGAATGTAGATAAGTATGCATGCTTTTGTGGCTGAAAGCTTCCTTTGTGCTCTATGATTGACAAAAGAGATGAAGGACTAGATGAGCTAATGACTGCTGCCCGTATGTGGATTGGAATCTGTGAATTGTGAATTTATTGAAGAAGCACAAGTGGCTTTTTCCAAAAATTGAAGTTGGACTACTGTGCTGAAGAGATCTGAAGGCATGTGATGTCTGCTGAGCTTGAAACTGATATTTTCTTCAAGAATCTGAAGCAGATGTGTTGAACTGATGGCAGTTGTCGGTAATTGATGTAGTTGGTGCAAGTTGTAGAATGAAATTGCTGGGCAGTTAGGTTAGAACCCCTAAATTTTCCCCTTATGATCCCTGTGTAGTAAAGAGTAGCTAGTTGTTGACATAATCTCACATAATTTATGTGAAAATCTGCATTGTATGGCACTAGGAAAACTAGGATTTATCCCCTAGGTGTGTCCAGTTGGTTGTTCTATTTGTGTAGGCATGTGTGTGAGACTGTGAGAAGGTGATATGCCTTGGTCCTTTGATGTGATTTCAGCAGAATGAGTAATGGAAGTGCTAATACCACACACTGAAAAACATCAAAGGGGTATACATATCCATGATCATTGTACCTGCAAAAAGAAACGAACAAGTTAGCATAAAATAGAACACACGGTTCTGTGCAATTGCCTTGTGTTCATTCACTACAATCTGGTTTTTCTGAGAAGTTATTTTAGAGGATGGTGAATGATGTGCTGAGGATGGTTGTTTTTGAGTAATGAAGTTTTTGTAAGCGTGATAAGCTTGTCTCTTCCTACCGAAAGCTTTGGAAATAAATAGTGACTGGACAAGGGTAATTCTATATGTTGGGTGGGTTCTGTGGTGGTTCTGTTGTGGTTCTCTAGGCCTTATTCGAGAATCTGGACCCTTTATGCTGGTAAGGTAGTGTTGCTGTGGGGTTGGCTCATTAGTGGGATGTGTTTGAGGCCGTGGTAATGGTTGGTGGTACATGTGTGAGGATCTGCAGAATAGAAAAAAAAAATCCTCTATGTAGAGCTGCTTGCTTAGGAGTGCGTCCAAGTTTTCAGTACCAAGCTCTACTATTTTCATGCGTGTCAACTGAGAAGATGTGAGATGAAACCTTAGGAATCATGTAAGATGAGGAAAACGATCAGATCCTCTAGAGGTGTCCCAGGTAAGGTTATATGTGTAGTTTGACTGATGACTTATTTTTTTCCATTGATAAACTCTCAGTAAAATGAGCATAGAATGTTCTAATACCATACAATAGGAGTAAATCAATGGTTTGAACATGTCATAGAGATAGGTACCTACAAAAACGAAACCATAGTTAGTTTTCAGTATAGCATGCATGATCTCCTTCCAGGGAATTTTGCCATACAACTGTTTCTTCAAAGGGTTCTTTCCCCTCTTGTCCAATTCTCCAAAGTCTATATTTAGGTTCTTGTGGGTTCTGAAGCATAATAGGGGGTGATGTGAGTTGTTGGTGGGCATGAAGGTTTGGTGTTGTTGGGAAAAGAGATGGTTGTTAGGGTGAGATATGGTGAAGGTGTGAGAAAAATGTGATGAATCTTTGTTGTTGTTGGGAATATGTTGTGATGGTTGAGGGTGTGCTAGATTCCTGAGCATGGATTGGATGGCTGAATATGGCTTAGTAGGGTGATTGGTGTCTTGATGATAGTATTTAGGGCAATTATTATGGTTTGGTTGTAGTTTGTGCATGTAGTATAGGGAGGTTTTTGTTGTTTCAGTGTTCCTGTAATCTGCCCCTATTCTCTGATCAATTCACAGTAGATTGAATATGAATGATATTCATACCACACCCTAGAAAAGGATCAAAGAGCAGTGCAAACTATCCAAGAAAAAATCAGCAAAAAAGAAACTGTTAATGTAACCTTGTGTAACAGTATATTCTGCCAAAAGGGTCTGACCAGGGTGTTGGTAATGCGGATTGTTAGGACTTCTCCCATATTTTTCTAATGCTTAACCATAACCATTAGAGGAGTTGGAAGTAGAAGCAGTATGTGATGTGAGCTGAATTTATTAGCTTTCTTGTGTCTGAAGGCTGGGAATCCTTTTTGGTCAAGTATGATTTAACCTTTGATATTAGAAAGGAGGTCTTGTATATAGCGATAATGTGTCAACTGGGTTAACTGGTGGATGAATTTGGACAATGAATTTGCAGGGAAATTGGCTTCCCTATACAATTGTGAGAACTTGACCTCATCACATAATTGGCAGAGGTATTTCAGCTTCTAAATAGGCATATCTATGGTACATGGTGGCACTATATTGTTGCTGAGCCAGTGAATCAACAATGATGAGTCAGCTTGCAAGTGTATTTTGGTGCATTCATTGTCCAGGAACCATTGAATGCCAATGATAGTTGCTTTTGTTTCTGCTAGATTATTGGTGCCTTCACCAAGTGGACAGGCTATGGCATGACTAAAGTGGCCCTTATGATCCCTCACAATGACTCCAGCTTCAATTTTTCCTGGGTTGGTAAGTACACTACCATCACTATTTACTTTCACAAAATTAATTCCAAGTTTCTACCATATCACCTGAATGGTGGTAATACGTTTCAACTCATCCACCATAGTATAGAGATCAATCCAGTTATGGGACCAGTTTATGTGGGGATAACTAGCTTTTAGGAGGAGATGAATGTCTGAGTTAATAGCAAAGATAACTTTGAGCATAGAGGAAATTCTGCCCTCATACTTAGCACTGCATCTATTTTTCCAAAGATTCCAGCGTATAATGATGGGAATTGTGTCCATCAGTAATTGTTGGATTTCATTGTTACTCTTGTGGAACCACCACTTTATTAGAAGCATCTTAAGAGACAAGTCATCAGTGTTCAGCCCTGTAATGCCTATAAATTTTATCCATACAGCTCTGTCAAAGAAAACTCTGCTGAAAATGTGTTCAATAGATTCAACTTGAGGTTGTTAAAACACACATCTGATGGCAGTGGGATTACCAAATGTAACAACTATGTCATCAGTTGGAAGCTTATTCCTTAAAACTCTCCACAGGAAAAAAGACCATTTGAATAGGATTTTTTTTCTGCCAAGTTTTCTTGTTGGAAAAATTGATCTGCTTGTTATCTCTAATTATTTCCCATGCTGAGGAACATGTAAAGTTACCAAAGGTATTTGGTGACCAAATATCTTCATCAGAGATTTGTGGGTCATAATGAATAAGAGTTTGAAGGATTTGGGGGATCATGTGTGCCGGGGCAATGACATTCAGTTTTTGCAGATTACATTGACTTGAATCCCATAATTGACCTGGTCTTCCTCCTCTAATTCTACTATTGGCAAGTGAACCTGTGCCCAACTAGTTATCCCTTGAGAAGCTGGAATTGCCTGATTGTAATCTCCATTAAATGTGCTGATCTACCTCCTTTTTGTTGACTGTTAATTTCTTCTATGAGCAAAAACTTTCTCTCTCTCTCTATATATATATAAATTAGAAGTAAATTCAAGAATTGGTTCACCACTTATAATAAAAAAATGAAAGTTTTGTTAAAAAAGAAAAACCAATGGATAAGTATCAACTTACAATAGAAAAAATCATATGGCTAAGTATTCTGGCACCTCATACTTTATGAAGGAAAAAAAATAACCATTGATTGAGATAACTAATTAACCTAGCTGGTAATGCAGAGCAAAGGTTCCACTTTCTCTCTCTAGAAAATCCCCGCCGTCACTGTAGCATTGAATTCGAGCTACTGTTCATCGCAGCATTTTTTGCGATTTGAACTTGCTAATGCTCGTGTAAGGCAGCAATGGCTGCGTTGAACTCTCCCCAGTCCTTGGCTGTGGGAGAGCAAGCACCTGGGATCTACATTCCTCCAAAAATGAATTATGCAGCAACTGTGACTAAAGAAAATGTGCGACAAATCCAACACACAGTTCTATGTCCAGTTAGATTCGAACATGGAGAACCAACCGTTGAATTCACCACAGATGAGGTGAAAGAGTTTGTCATAGAGGAAGGTTTACACCAAGCAGTTGTCATCAAATTCTCTTATGGAAAACCAGAACTTCACGACTTCAGAAGAATTTTTCCAAAACAGTTCGATGTGAAGGGATCGTGTAACATCGGGCAGCCGGAGTTTAGACATTTACTGATGCGATTCGATCTTTATGAAGATTATGTAAACTTTGTTTCCAGATCTACTGGGCACATTAACTCAAATGGAGATGAGTTCTTCTTCAGAACTTTTCCTTGGACGATTGGATTCGATCCAAGAATTAAGACATCGAAGGCTGTGGTGTGGATCTCATTCCCAGATCTTCCACCAAATTATTTTGCTAAGAAATCTTTGATGTCAATTGCATCTGCAGTTGGAAAACCTCTTGCTATTGATAAGGCGACGAAAGATCGAACAAGGCCAAGCGCTGCGAGGGTTAAAGTGTTGCTGGATCTGCTGGATAAGCATCCCAAAAAAGTAAAGATTTCAGTCGTCGACAAACTTTCTGGAAAATTTAATAATTTCCGTCAAAAGGTTATATATGACTACCTGCCAATGTATTGTACATGTTGTAATCACCAAGGGCATGATGAAATTTCATGTCGCGCGATGAAAGGAAGGAATAAAAATGCAAAGGAAAATACAGAGCAAAATAGTCGAACTGATTTGGATGAGAATTGTGTTGAACAACTTCAGGGTGATGCAAGGCAATTATTGAATGCAATAAGAGATGCCAATCAGCTGGAAATTAATGACAATGTGACTAAAATGCAAGGAGCGGTCAATGACACTTCAAATACTCAGAATAAGTCTAAAGGTAAGGCTATTGCTACAGGAACTCTGGCGATCTTCACAGGTCAAAAGACTACTGGACATATAGGAGGACAATAGAAAGAGGTGAAGGATAAGCGTGTGAAGCCTGTCAATAATGAGAATTGTGTTCAAACAAAAACAGGACATGAGACTATGACATTGAGTGCTGCAACCAAGGAGAATCAGATGATAATGGCATTGGTGGAGATCGAAGATGAGCATACAGACCATGTCCAGATTCGGAATAGCTTTGCAGTTTTAGGAATGGAAAAAGCTGATGACAATGAAGGAAATAATCTGATGTTGATAGGGAAAACCTCTGCTGCCAAAAACAGAGCTAACATGGAACCAAATGGCAATTTGACTGCAACTGCAGATGCTATTACTCAACTTCCAAACTATGATGCACGTACAAAACAATTGTCAAAAGATACAAATCAATTAAATCCAAATGCTATTGCTTTTAATCTTTGTGCTAAACAGATTGAGCATCAAAAGCACAAAAAACAAGAGTCCACAGCACAATGGGCTAATAAGATATTTGGAAGCAAGTTAGTAACCACTACTCGTGTCAGGATATCCCATCTCAAGATACATATGAATCATCGGAACAAGTGAATGAGAAGGACAGATTAGCTCTGACTAGTGGCAAGCTTTGGGAGGACCAAGCTGAGGAGGATTCTGAAGAAGGAGAAATTCCAAAAGGAATAAATGAAGAAGCTGAAGCTGATCAGGAGGTCATAGAGGAGGAAGATCAAAGTGTAAATGATAATGCAGCTGTTGTAGCAGAACATACTCGAGATCCAAACAGAGCAAATACTCTGTTTCAAAACAGAGAAAAGGTCAAAAACATACCAAAGGAGGAAAATAATACTGCAGCCTGCAGTTAAGCCAGGAAACAACCAGCTACAACAATTACAGGCGCCTCAATGCACTTGGACAAAAATGATAAGTTGGGTGGATTAAAATGCAACGCTGAAGGGGAACAAGGGATGAGTAAAAAAACTGACAATCAAAAAGAGGTTGGTGATAACAGTAGGGTGATGATACTCAAGTATATTGATACCAAAGGCGTAATGACTCATTGTCCCTCTCATGAATTGGCAAGACCAGTTATTAATCAAGAAAAAGAAGATGAAATCATTCTGGGAAATGGTAGAGATTTAGATGAGGAATCCACAACTCAAAACTTCATCAACGTGGCAAGAAAAGGTGATATCTCTCCAACTCATATAGCCAAAGCTAAATCTGTTGCAAAAGGAAAAAAAGGAAAGATTAACAGAAACAATTCTGGCATGCCTACTGCTGGGATCCAAACTCGACGAGGTAGTTCTAAATCAAATAATTGTTAATGGATGCAATTATTTGGAATATTAGATCCGTCAATACGCAACGAGCCTTTGAGATGCTCGTAAAAATGCATAAACAACATAATTTCGATTTTGTTGGTCTCATGGAACCAATGCAGGATGGCTCAAAGCTGGAATTATACAGAAGACAGATAGGATTTTCTCAAGCATTTTCTAACATCTCAAATAAGGTGTGGGCTTTCGTTGACGAACTGTACGACGTCACAATTCTATATGACATGGAGCAGCAGCTGACATTATAAATGACTCATACAGAAACACGCATTGTCCAAAATGTTACTTATATGTACACGATATGTACATATGAGGATGGATATATTACTGTGGCTATGCATCATTTTTTGTAAAAACTGCTACTGGTGGTATTAGTACAATGTACTCAATCCAGTGTAGGGGAACCAAGGATGAGCATAAGTATAGCAGCATATATAGGAAGGGACAAATCGATGGCCCAGACTGGTATACATTGTCATGCGCGCATCAATTTTTGGACACGATCTGTGGGCAGGAATGTTGTACAATGGCAAGAAGGTCAATTGCAAATTCACTTATCAGCACCACAGGGATCAACACACATGAAGAATCAGGCCCAAAAGATAGTGAATAATCTGGAAATGGAACTCAAATGTGGCACCTTAGAGCTGATATCGACATGGCAATCCACAGGCAATTTTTGGTCAAAATTTGCGGACAAAACTACAGCATATGGAGCTGGGATCTCAGCAACTCAATATACAATAACATATCAGAAACACACTCAAGGGAAGGAATCAACAAAAAAGAAGAGGAAGATAATCAAAATAGAAAACAAAAACGAGGCAAGCGGGCAACTAAGAGCAGAAATTATGAAACTCTTATACAGGAGCTTTTGGAGCTTTTGTTTTAAGGAATTCATGAGCAACTGGAACAACAATGAAGCAATATTAGGAGCTTTACACCATCAAGGAGAAGAAGAGCATATCATGATCGAAGGAGATTTGATAATTTGTTTTGGTAATTACATCTTAAGGAATTTTGATAGTCTTCTTCATGTGATACCAATGTTGAGTACTCTACTCAATAATGGTAATAGGCGCTATGTAATTCTCAAATTTCATTACTTTCATTTTGTAAGACCTCCGGACAAACTATGTTTTTGATTTTTGATTTTATTATTATATATATATGAAACTAGCCCTAGGCCCTTGCCTAGAGGATTGCCAAAAAAAAAAAAAAAACCTAACTGGTTGTTAGTATTTAGTGAGCATAAGTTTTGTAGCTATGATATATATAGTGAAAGAAAAAAATTACTAATAAAGTCCTCACGATGGCAGTGCTTATGAGACACTCTTGGCGAATCCCACATTGATAAATTACGGGAGAGATGCTAAGTATTTAAGTAAATAAACCTTAGACCCCAGTGACCAATTTTAAAGCCGTGCGAGCCTAGGCCCAAAACAAATAATATCACTAGTGGGCTGAGCTGTTATATATGGTATCAGAGCCACTATGCGTGCAACCTTGAACGATGGTGGAGCAAACCTTAGCGAGGGCGCTGAGTTTCTAAGGGGATTGTATGTGATACCCAAGGTGAATCCCACATAGACAAAACACAAGAGATATACTAGGTATATAAGTAAATAGGCCTTAGACCCTAGTGACACATTTTAAAGCCGTGCGAGCCTAAATCCAAAGCGGACAATTTTACTAATGCACTGTGTTATTATATCTGGTAGCAGAGCCGCTCCGCGTGCAACCTTGAATTGTTGTGGGGAAAAATCTTAGAGAGGATGCTGAGTCCTTAAGGAAGGTGTATGCGACCCTAGGCGAATCCCATAGAGACAAAGTACGCAGAGATGCTGAGTATATAAGTAAGTAGACCTTAAACCCTAGTGACACATTTTAAAGCCGTGCGGGCCTAGGCTCAAGACGGATAATATTACTAGTGGATTGGGCTGTTACAAAATAGTACTCCCTCTGTTCCAATTTATATGAACCTATTTCTTTTTTGATCCGTTCCAAAAAAAATGATCCCTTTCTAAATTTAGAAATAATTTAGCTTAAACTTACAATTCTATCCTTAATGAGAAGCTTTTATAATCACACAAATACTCTGGGCCCAATTTTGACTTGTTTAGGACCACAAATTCCAAAAGTATTCATTTTTTCTTAAACTTTGTGCCCGATCAAATAGGTTGACATAAATTGGAACAGAGTTAGTGAACTAAAAAGACTTAAAACTATCAAAGTAATTTCTTCTCCTACAGAAAGAAGCGTTTAGAATGCTAATATCCTAGAAACCTAGGAAAAATTCTTGTTCTACATATGATAAATTTGAGTTCCTATGAATAGTTAAAGTTATCCTATATATTTATGAGAGTGAGCCTCTTCTGTGAAATAATTTAATAATGTATAGAAATAATTAATTCATAAACCATATGAGATATGTATGTAGTCTTTCCCACAAAGTAAGCAAAATATCTATGGCTCAAAGTCAGTAACTAAAAAGTAAAACCTAGTATAAGTTTAAGATGATTCAGACTACTGCATTTTCAAGTGTAGCTATATATGGTCATTTTTCATCAAAACATCAAATACTATAAGTTGCATACTGAGGAGTCATTTTGCAAAGATTAACACATATTCTTCCTATAATTATACAGTAAAATAAATTCTGGCATTTCCACATCAAAGTCTTGTGAGTTGCCCTTAGCTCAAGCCATTTTGCAATTATGAATAAGAAAACATCTTCACCAGATTCTCATAATCATGTGAACAAATTGATTTAACAACCGCTCAAGAAAAATATGTCATAATAGCAATATAAGCAATGCAGTAGAAATGAATTAACAAAGTAATGACCCCTTTTATTCGACTTCAAACAATTGAATTCCAAAGCAAAGAGAAAGAATAGAAAAATATAAGCATGTAAAATACGAACTTAATATTTTATAAGTAAATAATAGTGCTTATTTCAGTGAATTGAAAGCAATGCGAATGGGTAAAAAGTACTATTCATTGGATAAATTAGTGTCTGCTAAAAAAATAGGCTCTTTTAATTCTCCTTTTTGTATCTTCAGCTACAAAGATGAGTAACATTAATAATAAAGGAAACGATCAAACCTAATATAATAAAATTCATCTAACTTTGAGGAAAATATCATTAACTTTTTTAAAATTACATAGCTGACCTTGTGAAAGTTTATTCATATAAAAGAAGATAAATATAATTGTTTAGATTTGTTATGAAATACTTGATTATGGTGGATGTCCATAACTCCTAAGGGAGTAACACCCACTATTCTTCTCCATTAACCTCCCACTACTTCTTACCATTATGGATGTAACTCCCACACCTCCATGATCTTCCCTCATCTTCTCAATAGTTAATATCATGTTCATGACATCCCTTTGTATTACCTATATCATCCTATAAAATAGAGGGTTTGGACATCACATTGTATACACTTTGAATACATGGAAGAAATAAGAATCTCTCTTCTCTTTCTCTTTACATTCTTGTCTATTTTTTTGTTTTATATTATTACTTTGAGGTAAGTTTCTTAATACGTTATCGACACGAATTGCTTATTTCATAATCTTCTATTTCAAGATTATGTGGTAGGTGTTCTTTAATTTCTATGGCTTTGGCCATACCATTTTGGAGGCAAGGTAACTTTATTTTAATTTTTCTTCATAATAGTAAGGGTTTATACAATTGAACTAGACACAAATATTAAACTTTATGTTCTTTTAATCCTAAGAAATTATATCTAATATGAAGTTGACCATTTGTAAGTTTTTTTGACTTCATTCATCACAATGGTGTTTTTAGTGTTCTGCAGAAATATATGGCATCTTGAGATCACAATGCCTAATAGTACATAAAGTTGATGATTAAAAGAAATGTCTTAGCGCAAAATTATAGCAATAATTATGAAGTGGTAATATTTTAAATGGTTCCAGTCTATTATGACATTGGTTAAGGGTAAGACAATGGGTTCAAGTCCCAGCGCAACATACGAGTAAGACATCGGATTCGAGTCCTAATGCACCATGATAGTAAGAGTTGAGTTCGAGTCCCAATTCATTATGGCCTAACATGCATTTATAGGGGTAATGCATTGGATTTGAGTCCCAATGCATCATATTGATGATATAATGATGACTAAAAAAAAAAAAATATATTTTTCATGAAAAAGCATGAATCTTATCCCACTTGATTTGCTCCATTCTTAAAGTGAATGTGATAGAGGTGCATAATAAGTCTAAATGAAGACAAGTGGTTGACTAATGTACGCGGACGTGCCAAAGATCTAAATAATAATAGTCATCATTATGATAATTGTAAAAAGGAGAACAATAAGGGTTCTCAAAATATTACTTCAAAATGTGAAGGTGATGTTTGCCATCAATGTTGTATGAAAATAATAATGCACTTCCATATGATTATAGTCCACTTGAAGAGAATGTGACTTGTGATAATGCATATTACTGTGTAGTTACATGAATATGTCATTGGTCGCGTACACGTGGTACGCCAAAAAGTATTTTGCCATGCCTTATAAAAAGTTATTAAAGGCAAAATTAAAGCAAGAACTGATTTTGCTTATGATGATTTTGTACATGACAATTATTATGATATAATTTCCTCCGTGAAGGAGACATTCACCATATGGATGGTGTGACAAAAGATCTTGTAGTACAAAATTAATTAAGAGCTCCGGAAAAGCTAATTTGTTACTACTTGGATAATAAAATTGTCCATGACATTGATATTGTAGTAAGTATCAAAAGGAATTTTTGAGTTGCAAATATATTAGCCAAAGTGGTTGGCATATTGAGACTATAAATGAAAGGAAGATTGAATATCTTCATATTACTATAATCATACCGGGTAAATATGAAAGGTTACCCGACTTTTCTTCTATTTGTACTACACATGTATAAGCATGATGATGAATCACATGCCACAAGTACATAAGAGGTTTACTGAAACAAATATTAGTTGGCATGATCGGTTGGCCATCCCGATTTATTGATGCGAAAAATGATTGAGAATTCACATTGGCATATATTGAAGAATTATGAGATTCGTCGAGAATTCTCACGTACGACTTGTTCTCATGATAAACTGATTACAATACCAACTGGGATTGAGATTGTATTCCCTGATTTTCGGAACGTATAAAAGGTGATATATATATGGGCCCAATCACCTGCTAAGTGAACCGTTTACTAGATGCATCTATTGTATAGTCACATGCACGTTTGTTATTAACTTGCAATTTGGTTTTTCCAAGGTTGTTTGCTCAAATTATTAGAGCAAAATTCCGGAATATAAATTATGATAATTTATCTTGATAATGCTGGTTTAAATCCAAGTTGGTTTAGCGGAAATTGTATGCCTCCAATTATAGCTAAGTCATTGGTTATGAGAACAAAATTTGCAAATAGAAATTTGATATGAGGTGTATTATTTAATATACAACATCACTTGTATGCATCTAGCCAACAAGTTATGATAAATTTTCCCCATCACAATTGGTTGAGGGTCAAGAACCAAATATTCCCATCTAGAAATATGGATGTGCTATATGATTTAATTGTTCCACCACAATGCACAATGATGGGTCCCCAAAGAAAGTTGGGGATATGTGTTTGTGATCCCAGCATTAGGGGGAGAAAATTGGCAGCTGAAAAAGTAATCATGGAATGAATTATTATGAGTGTACATAGATCCTCGTACAAAACAAATGTGAACTTGAAGTTCAAGTGATAATTCATTCGTAAAATATTGCCAAGCGTATTTGCTGACCCAAAGCTAAATATTATATTTCAGCTGCTAATTCTCCAAATAGAATAAAGTCCATGATGGACATAGTTTATAGAACGCATGAAGCGAAATAGACTAATCGGTTCCAAAGATAAAACTCCTTGAAGAAGGAGGGGAGCAAATGATAAAGATGGTCATACTAAGGAGGCAAGTGCTCTATAAGAGCACCATAACATAATACTTTATAAGACCTCATAGAAGAAGCTCAGGTACCTAAAAATAATGAGATCTCGATAAGTTATGTCTTTATTGTGTGATAATGGAACCGATGTAAAATGATCATCGATGATATTGTTGATATAATGTAGTGCTCAATATTTTTAATTTTGACGAGGA